GGTCACACAGTAAGTTCACTGAAGAGTCAGGACCTGAGCACCTTAGCCTCCCAGCTCCTGGCCAAACACCTCAGGAGACAATCTTTAGTGAAAAATATCTTTAAAATACAATATCAAAAGTAGTATGTTATGAAAATGAGGTCTTCCTACTGCCATCAAAGAAAGAAAACAACCTATAGTGATGGTTAAAGCCACAAGACCATTTAGTGCAACATCTTCCCTGCCCTTTCCTAAGGCTCCTGAAATTGGTAAACTTTCCAAGGCAGAGCCATATGACTTAGAAGTGGAACTTAATTTAGAATATTTACTTTTAGTTAAGGTAATTTATAGAAATCTTTATTCCAATGTACAAAATATGGGACAGCTGCCCCAACAAACATGTACACAGTTACGTAGCAATCAGCCCCATTCCCAATTTTGACCCGCCCCACATTCACTCACAGCCAACCCGCACTTTTTCAAATGCATCTTGTTTATTTACTGCTAACTGGCATTTCAAAATATTGACCCAAATCTCCCACAGTGTATTTGGTACAGAATTTCCTATGTACATACAATAAACAAATTGCCATCAAATGGACTGCCATTTGAATTATGAAGTATTAGGTTTTACATATTAAAATTCTGGATCTATCTTTCGATCACTGCTCAGTTCATGAAAATATCAAACAAAGACTGCCAATAAAATGATTTTTATTGTGTTGAAAATACTTTAAAAGACAGTTTACCCTTATTTAGGCAATCATTTATATTTGATAAACATTTTTATAGTAGACTGATCTAAAACTAATAAAAGATTCAAGCTAAACAAAAATTAAAATGATTGTCTTACCTGAACAAGAGAAAGAATCCATAAATTTCGAAGATCATGCCTATCAAAGGCCAACCAATAAGGACTACAAATACACCACCCAGAAAAAATCCTGTAGCTTTCATTTTATGTTTTTGGAAGAAAAATCTGAATGTTCTTTCTAAACCAATTACAAAGGCCAAGCCAGCCACAAATAAAACCTAAGAGAAAAAATGCAACATAGAGAAAGTAGTTAAACACACTGCATAAATTTATAAAGGTCAAAGCTAAATATAATAAAAAGAAACACATTTGTTTGGCTTTTAATGTGGGCAACTGGCCAGAGGGAATTTCAGTGCACTACCAAGTAGCAGAACAAAAGAGTGGGTTAAACATGTTAAAGTTGTAGCTGTATTCCACTCCTTTCATGCTTTTTTTTTGGTACCGGGGTTTAGAACTCGGGTTCTTGTGCCTACAAGGCAGACGGCGGAACCACTGAGCTAAAGTCCCGGCCCTCATGCTTCTATCTTGATTAAATGGAGAAAAAGAAACACAGATGAGGTGTTATCAATGGGCACCTACATTCGCAGTAGTTTTCCCCTGCTTTTGCTGGATGAGGATGGCTTAGTTAAGCAGATGAGCAGGCAAGGGATAGACAGGGTGGCTGCCCATAAATATGTCACCCAAAAGTATTCCTCCTGCTTCTGAAATATCTACCATGGGCTATGGGAGCATCTACAGATGGGAGAAATAAGGGTATAGGTAAACTGATAGCAAGTCTACCACTGCAAGGAGAGCAGATTCTATGTTTATTAACATCAGAATATCTGGGGGCAGCAGAAATAAAAATACAACCGGATATTAAAAAGTGCATGTATATTTTGTATATTTTCTTGGATGTGGTTAAGAAATGGTGATTTACTAAAACCTTACCTCTTCCTGTGTTTACCTGCAAATATTTCCCTTCTCTATTAACTTTCTTTAGTGAAAAATATTTCAGAGATATATATTGAGCTCACTGGTTAAACTGTTTATGTTGCCATTTATTAAAACATGTACTTGGAATAATTTTGGTATCCCTTAGTTTTTCACATTTCCAACTAAAAACCTGAATGGTATCTGTGCTTCAACAGACGTTTAATCACTATTCAGTGACTTTACTGCCTTCTTAGAAGTTACCACTTACTTCTAGACTTCTTGCACAACTCCTACATCTGGATAGTGCACTACACATTCCAAATAAATAGTACTCAGGCCTTCTACGCAAGTCAGCTAATAACATGGAGATAATGGTTTCTTAAAGGTTTAAAAGATTATTAAAATTTGTTTATTTTATGTATATCAATCAAATGTGAAGTCTTACTCTTAACATTTTAATACATTTACCAAAACACAGAACTATTAAGTCATAGATTTTGAACTCCAATTTAGAGGTAGCCTTCATGGAATGTATTATAAATCACATAACAAACACTTAACAGGGTGGTTATAGAATTAGAAAAATCTCACTGAGTATTTCTCTTATTTGAATAGAAAGCTAATAGATTTTACTCAATGGAAACAGAAAAATGTAATAGTAATTATATATGAGTAACAGTGAATTATTTCTCCCAAATTTTACAAAATGTAATAATTCATTTGTAGTGAAAACTTCCTTATAAATTTAGTAAAAATATATATTCAAAAACTCACATTTCCAATAGCCAGTAGTGCTTTGTCAAAAAAGAGAATCATTCCAAAGAACAGGAAAAACACTCCAAATCCCGTTAATCCCATTCCAATTTCTGCAATATAAATTACATGGTTAAGGGTAGAGAAATATTAAAGTCACATTAACACCTGTAAACTACCTAAGAAAAAGTTTCAGTTTTTCTTTGGGCTAATACAAAGAAATACGTCCCCAACACTGTTGGTTAATGTCATTAAATTCATTACGATCTACAGCAAACCAATATCATGAATTACCTCAGCATTTAAAA